GCGCTACGCGAGTTCTCTAAGGCATGGAAATAGCTTTTACTTCCACTTAGCACGACAATCATGCGCTTCAGATAAGGAATAATTAATATTAGTCTCACTAAAATACCTCTTCGGTGCTGTGAGTTGGAGCAAAAGTCATTTTTAAAAAGTATTACTTTTGTTTTTGGAGTTCTCACTTGTCCTGAATTTAAAATAAAAAAAAAAATCATTTAAGGTTAAAATGTAGAACATTTATTTCTGGTCCTTAAATAAACATAAAAAAATTTGAAGTTTGTTTTTATTCTGTAGTAAAATATGAAATTATTGCTTTTTAAAGATGATCTAATCCAGCAGTTGCCAAACTTTTTCCAGTAAGATTATTTTTGTAAATAATATGCAGAAGCCCAATTTATGAGAGTGTTAAGTAGGGTATTTATTAGTTAAAAATAGCAGGCTCTAAACGCAAAAAGACAATCTATGTAAATTGTCGCAGTTTGAAAAACCCAAGTTTAAGTGTCAGAGTATGACTGAAGGCTTAGATCATGTGCAGATCATGGGCATTGCAGTTTCAGAGCAGTTCCAATAATTTCATGTCAATCTCAGTAGTTGAAACTTTCTCCGTTTTGTATTAGAGAGCGGAGAGAAGTCTTCATTCAGTTAAACACTTGCAACTGATAAAAGATTTTTAAAAATTCACCCTGTAATTCAAGAATACTGTTAACAGAGATATCAGGAAAAGTTACATTCCCAGATCTGCCGAAAGGCAACTCCAGGTTGGCAAGCCCAGCTAGTGTGTGGATGGTGTGCTAGAACTTGGCATGTCTGCATAGGCTTTTTTTTCTTTCCCTCCTTCTAGAGGAAAAGAGTCAGCTCAGCCTGGGCCACCTACCAAGTCACCTGGGTTCTTACAGGTGGGTCTGTTCAGTGACTACATGGAAGTGCACGTGATGCATGTTCAGGCCCTACGGATCACACGGGGGCCTCTCCCAGGCTTTGTTCCTCTGGAAAATGAACAAAATACTGAAGCAAGTTGGCCTCAGGCTGGCAGTAAGACAGGAGGTGATGTGAAGAGCCTGAGGAACAGTCATACCCACGGACCTGGACTTCTCAAGAATTGTAAGTTCCTTGGGGCCAGCAGGTGGCGGTTGATAGCGCTGGTTGACTGTGGTTCGAATCCCAAACCTGGCGACTTGCTTTCTCACTTTCCCTCTCTCTCCAGTCAAATAAAAAATAAAGTTAAAGAAAATAATTCATATTAAAAAATCAAAGGATTTTAAGTTTCTTGAGCCAGACAGCTTCCTAACAGTTAAAGACATTTGTGATGAGATCAGTGGTGATCTGAAGAAATGTGACTTTTTTATTTTTATTTTTTTTTTCTGGAGAGGTTTTCACTATAGGGCATGTGCGCTTGCCAGATGGACAGAGAGAGACAGAGAGACAGAAAGCAATAAATCACCCACCCAAGGGGGATGGTCACACCACAATCCCTTCTCCTCCATTCTCCTCTCAGAATCTTGGGCACGCACGCACACGCGCTCGGTGTTGAGTTTTAAGCCACTGGGTCTGGGACGCGAACCGCGGTAGACTACATGAGAGTCCAGTGACATAGCCATTACTCTAACTGCTGGTTCCCGAAATGTGACTTTTTGACACTGTAAGAAATGTATCAGCAGTTAAAGGATCCAAATAACTCAATGAAGAAGTAGTTTTCAAATAATCAGAGAATGCTACAAAATTGTTCAATAAAAGAGTCTAGGTGTTTACCATAACAGAGAGGACACGTTCATAATGGTACAGTTCATTAGGATACCTAGAACCGTATCGACCTTTGAGAAATGTTCACTTGTGGGTTTTTAGTTTAGATCAAAGATGAATATTCGTAATTCTTGGGAAACCTTGCTCAAATACTTGTCCCTTTTCCAACTGCATATCTCTGTGAGACTAGATGTTCTTTATATTTTTCAACTAAACGATGTATTGCACAGATTGGAGAGGCGGGACATTTGAGATTTTCCAAAATGTAAAATTTTTAAATTTTTTGGATATTTTTCTTAAAAGTTCATTATAACGTACAATGGGTTTGTAATGATTTCTTCAAACATTAATAAACATGTCAAATGTTTTCAATTCAGTCTCCACAGAACTAAAATCTCTTTGAAGCCTGTGGTAACTGCTGAGTGTCGGGTGTAGCACTTTGTGCGAGGTTACGACTCAAAGGATTCCGTGTCTCAAGAGGCCCTGGAGGACACCTGAGGCTCTAGCAGGCCGGGGTCACACTCGGCGGATTCACCTAACCTAAACGTGGGGCTGCTTGTCCCCGCCCAGTAACCATTTGGAGAAGTGCTTTTCCGTTCTTTCCCTCTCCCAAAGCAATGACCGTGACTTGTGCTTAGACACACGACCAAGGACCACCTGCAAACTATTAGCTCACCACAGCTATCTTTCCTCCCCAAAGATGTGGCATTTAATTTCGATTTCTAAGTGTGTTTTTTTTTAAGTTTACTTACTTCTTCAGAGACTCCCAACAGTGTCCTGATGTGGGGACCCACTCCTAGCCTTCAGCTTGCCATGGATCATAGGCAGGTGTGTGCCTGGCATATGCTGGAAGCTCTCGAAATTTGAATCAGGAGCCTTCTCATGCGCAACTCCCTTGCAGAGCTCCGTTTCACACTTGTGCCAATGTCTGGGCCCAGTTTTCTTTCAAGTTTACTTGTGGCCCAACCCACAGCCTAGTGAAGGGAGCTGGATCCCACACGGCTGATCGTGTGGTCTAAGCCCTAGACCCAGAGGCCTGAAACCACGCCGGGTGTGTACGCACCCCAAATCCCGAGGCTCTTTCTCCTTGAATTAAGCGATTTTGGGATATAGTGTTCTTTTAAGAGTCTGATTTGGGGGGCATTCAAAGGTGTGATGGGTCATCTACTGGGCTCCCACATGGCTGACCGCAGAGTCCTGGACCTGTTGGCTTGAAAATCACACCAGATGTGTGTGCAAGTGTGCCCCCAATCCTAACAGAATGGAGAAGGGATTGTGGGGTGGCCATCCCCCGGGTGGGTGACTGACTTCTCACTTTTGCTCTCTGGTAAGCACAGATGCCCTATGGCAAAAACCTTAGAATAAAAGCCACATTTCGTTGAGTGAAGGAGTGGGAAATACAGCCTCAGCGCGGGCTGGAGTGCCCTGCTTCCTAGCTCCCTGCTACGATGTCTAAATCTTACAGCCTTGCCTTTGAGCCTGTCGCATATTTTTATGAACGGTCACTCAATGTGCATTAACTCGTGATTTACTTTCTAATCAGAAATTTGGAAACTTTACCCAAGTACGACCAGGTAATTTCCAATGAAAATATTCAACATGTTAAGAATAACACCTGGTGTCAAACATACTTACTTTCACATCCTTTGATCTGGTACGTTTTGTGTCACCATCATGTCTTTTGATTTAGTCAGTGGTGTTCTGTGTCAATACAAATATTAAAAATATGTAAAATGCACCTTTTTTTTTTTTTTTTTCCAACGTGCCAGAAGGCATGTGTTCTAGCCAGAGAGGAAAACAGAAAGCACCCACACAAAGCTTGGTGATACCACAATCCCTTCTCCATTTCGCCCTCTTGACATCTTGAGTGTGCATGCGTAGGCGCACAACTTCTTTTTCAAACTGCTGGGTCTGACACTTAAACCATGTGGTCAGCCATGAGGGATCCAACTGCCTTAACCACCAGGCCACAGGGTGGCCCATAGATCACTCTCGTCCTATGTCATTTCTGTCTTAGAAATGTCTGTGTGACTAAATTCTCCCAAGGTTTTGTCTGACACTGTTACAATAGTCTATTTTTTAAATTAAAAACTTTGTCCCACTTTTATTTTTATCTGGTTTTAAGGAAAAGGTAAGCATCCCATTTACTTTCCTGAAGGTTACCGAGTTTTATCAACTCCATTTATTGACGGATTGAGTTTCTTCATTCAAGAAAAAAGTACCATGTCCCAAACCCACACATGTAGGAATGAAGTGCATTTCTAGACTTTCTGTTCTATGGCAGCCCCAGCTTACATATTATAGACTAACATTTCATTTTCCTTTCCTGATTTTTGCAGTTCCTCTTTACACGTGAAATGTAGAAGCAATGACTGTACCTGCAGAAGGGGAAAATGCTATTAGGATGGCAACTCTAGACTTTATGATGTTGTCTTTGTACATAAGAACAAGCACCCTTTGCAAATAATCTGGATGCTTGAGTTTTGTCCCCCCCCCAATGTGGTGTTTTTGTTTTTTCCCCCCCCCCCCCCAGTGTTAAATTGCATGTTATTCCTGATTAGAAACCACTATTAGAAAGGTCTTGATAGGCCAGTAAAAGGCATGGTGATTAAGGTGTTGGATCCCACATGGCCGACTGCACGGTTCAAGTCCAACAACTGGCAGCTTGAAAGACACTGGGCACATGTGCTTACATGCCCCAAATGCTGACAGGAATGGGAGAGTAGACTGGTGTGGCCATCCCCTTTAGGGAGTCTCTGGTGTGTGCACGCGACCTATAGCAAAAAGAGAATAAAGGTCAGACTGTCAGTAATCTGATGATCAGGTGGGACTTATGTATCATCTGGGCCAAAGTTTTTGGCTTACAAATGAAATTTAGACACAGAAAAGGGAAGGGCTGTGGCCCAGTTCACACAGGGATTTGGCAAGGGGGTTGGGACCAGGACCCGCTTCTACCTCTTCTCCAGGGTTTCCTTGTACAGGATGGACCTAATAATCCCTGTCCATAAGTGCCTCCCTCTGAGGGCTGCAGGCTGGCAGGGTGCCCGAATCCATTAAGGGCCCACAAAGCCCCTTCTGCCCCCCACCCCCAAGCTCCCCATCACACAAAGCCAGTAATCCACAATGAAGAGAAAAGATATTTAATTATTTCTCAGTCTAATCTCTTAAAGCGCTCAAAGTGTTTTCACAAGTGCAAGGGATGGGGATTGTTCTCAGCCAACATTTACCAGTGATTCCGACACACGCAAAAAAACTCCAAATCACGGTGCTTTATACTTACTTTTAATTTCTGCACTGAAAAAAAAAAGGTAAAAACGATGACAGATTAGTTTACAGTGACTTCATGTTTGCCCTTAAATTAATCTTTGCTCTTGGGGGCAGAAGGGAGAGAAAGACAGAAGTACATCAAAGCATATTGGTGAAATGGTGACCAGGACACCTCGGTCTGGCTAACAAGGGCTCTCAACGCCTGGACATGGTGCCGTCAACACGCTAGCTTGTAAACCGACAGGCAACAGTTAAGATATGTTAAAAAAAAAAATCCCACAATTCCATTCCTAAAAAAAAAATCAAGCACAAAATTTGACAATGAAATACATCCAAGGTTTCTGTGTGTCCCCATCTGGTCTGGAGACAGCCACGTGGTGACTCCCCCGCACTACCGGACAGTCATCTGCCCTACAGAATTCCAGCTTTGCTGAGCCACGGCCGCCGTCCCCTCTTCTCGCCGATAGCGATGCCCTGCGGGTAGGACAGTGGAGCCACGCGCCCACCTACACAACCCTCCGCAGACAGCAAAAGCCACTGGGGCTGGGTCTCTGTGCTTTTGAGGCTGTTGCCTCTGGAATGTTCCGCATTCAAGGTTTGGTTGGGCTGTGGGTTTTTAGTTATGCTCCACACGTTGTTTAAGTGCTCGCTTTATTTCCCATGTGCAAACTGTTACTGCCTAAAGCTTTCAGAAGGACACGTACAGACACGAACACCCTGTAGAGAGACGAGGGTAATCCTGAAGGCCCTCCTCCCTCCTGAGGCGGGGTGGGGCGGGGGGCGTTACAGAAATAGTTAGAGAAATGACATGTTCCGCGGCAGGTAAACTCCAGTCCCTGATTCGGTCCCTCCGAGGGAGGAGGGGCTCCTCAGTAGGTGATTGTCCACTCCTTGACAGAGGCGTCGTGGGAGGTCGTGACCAGCGTGTGCTCGTCCAGCCAGGCCAGGCTGCTGACGTGGTGTAGCCGGTGTGCATCTGGGGAGAGAGGGGCTGAGGTAAGGCAAACACACTTCTCTGTGCCTAGGCCTCAGACCAGGATGAGGACCCACCTACATCGCAATCACATACAGAGCCTCCAGAAACTTGGCCCCGGACCCCGGTCAACCAGACCCCCTTGCCCTTTCTTAGGATGAGTCTAAAATGATGGGTGGGCAACATCGGCCTCACGGTGATGCCAGGCCGGGCACTGTTTTGCTGTGCACTGCAGGATAATTAGCAGCATCCTGGCCTCTACCCCCGTTCCAGGTCCTGACAACCAAAAACATCCCCTCCCCACCAAGGGGCGTAAAAGTCTGTTCCATTTTATGTACAGAAGCAATGACATACACACAATAAACGAGCCTGTCCCTCTTTGTGGAGCCTGTCCCTCCTTGTGGAGGGAAGTGACAATAAATAACAAGGTTGATGCACTCGGGACTAGAGGCCTGGGCTGACACTCCCTCTGTGAGCTGTACCATGGGTGACTGGACTCCAGGCCCTCTGCCCTCTCGCTATCGTCCACTCCCGATGCTGATGGTGAGACACTGCCTGCATGTTTACGGATGTCCTGGCTTGCAGGTCCTGACGGGCGAGTCTCAGAACTGTTCCCTCGAGTCCTAGTGGCCCCCTACCTCTAAGTCTGCAACCCCAAATGAACCGGGGCACTCAGGCCTGCTCCCTGGCTCCCCCACACCCTGTGCCAGGAGTCAGCCGGCTGGTGGCACATAGGCTGCTGCCTGGGGAGCCCCAAGGCCAGAGCAGGCCTCGGCTGTGAGGCTGGGCTCCAGCTCTGCCCACCAGCACGCCGATGCTGTTCGGGTGAGAACTCAACTACGTTTACAAAAGCCCACTCTGGAGCCAGTTCTGACCACATGAAAGACACACACACACTGGGCCCGACTCCCTGTATCACTAGCTCCTCTGCACTATTTTGTTGCTCCGTTTTATTTATGAACTTTTTGCTTCTCCCTGTTAAGACTGACGATATCCTTCTAGATGAGGACGCTCACAGAATCCGTCCCACACCTCCGACCCCAGCCTGTGCCCAGGAAACACTCAGATGCGGCTTCCTGGTGTCCTCCCCGCTTGCAAGTTGGGAGTGAACTGGGGGTGGGGAGGGGAGAGATGCAGAACTATTTTCAAATAGAAAAGGTGCCATTTGTTCTACTAAAAAGGCTAGCTCCTGTGTAGAGAAGAATGAGGAGCCCAGACTGCACAGGAGGGGTGCGGCTGGAAGGCAGCGGGGACGGGAGGCTCTTGAGGAAGGTTTCTGAGACCCAAGTCAAGAAGGTGCCTTTTCACACTGCCACGAGTGAGGGCACTGCCATATGGGTGGAAGCAATGTCATGGAGGGTTAAATCAAATACACTATTAAAACGATGTTACAGCAGTCAACAGGTAGTGTAGAGGTTAAGGTACTGGACTCCCAGATGGCCGACCACAGTTCAAGTCCTGGATCAGGAGGCTTGAAACTCATGCTGGGCCTGTGTGCATAAATGCCCAAAATCCTGAGCAAAAGAGGGACTGAAGCAGGGCCGTTTCCCCCCTCCACCACCACCACCCTAAAGGGTGATTTCTCACTTTCTGTCTCTCTGTATCTCTCTGGCAAGTATACATGCCCTATAGCAAAAATCTCTCTGGAAAAAAAAAAAATGTAAAATAAGAGTAGAAAAAATTAACATCTGTGAGTGGCCTATATTACATGAAGGGTCTACATCAAAATTCATAGATATGGTATTATAAAAAAACTGACAAAAAGAAAGTATGGGGGTGGGGTCCAGTAAGTAACATGATGGTTAAGGTACTGGACTTCCACATGGCCGACTACAGTTCAATTCCCTTACCTGTTAGATTGAAAATCACACTGTGTGTGTGTGTGTGTGTGTGTGTGTGTGTGTGTACCCAAAATCACGAGAAAAGAATGGAAGAGAAGGATTACAATGTGGTCACTCCCCCTGGGGAGGGATTTCTCACTTTCCCTCTCTGTCTTTGGTGAGCGCACGAGCACTATGCCAACAACCTAGAAAAACAAAAAATAAAACCAAACCAAGTAAAACCAACCAACCAAACAACAAAAACAAAAAACCGTGGGGACCAGCAGGTGCAGAGGTTAAAGTGGCAGGGTCCAGAGTGGTTCAGGTCTGACTTGGCAGCACAGTACATGTGTACCCAAAATCCTAAGAGGAGAATGGAGAAGGGATAGTAGCGTGGCCTGCCCCAAAGGGGCAATTTCTCACTTTCTCTCTTCCTCTCTCTCCTTCTATGCCTCTCTCTGGCCAGCATTTTGCCCTCTAGCACGACTTAAAAAAACATATTTGTGCCCTCAAGAAAAACTAAAAAAAAAAAAAAAAAAAAAAAAAAGTAAACATGGATTTCAAAATTATTTTGCACCAAAATAAACTCATACTTTAAATCCATTTTCCCGTAGATTTTTGAAGACCCCCTCAGATTTCTCCTGGACAACAATGTCTCGAGGAGTGAGAGTTTGGTTCCAGACTGCAACTTAGAGACCGAGTGTGTGTCGGGGGAGTGTGATGGGCTGTGATTTAGGTCCTGGGGCTGGGGGGTGGAGGTCACAGGTTGTGATTTAGGGACTACGGTGGGGAAGGGATGTGAAGCCTTTAACAGCAGGAACATGGAGCCTCCAGTCCCTCTGCAGGTCTAGAACAGGCCTAAGGGGCAGTTAGATGTTTGCTGGAGAGAAACAGCTCTCCCAAGTCACCTCCTCAGAAGCCCCAGAAGAGCCGCTCAGCCCTGGGGAGCTGGGCTCTGGGACAAGCTGTGCTAAGGTGTGTGGGAGGGGTGTCACCTTGGATCTTGACTCTGGTTTCTGGGTCGCTCAGTGTCCAGACGTACACCATCATGTCCATGCCCCCGGAGGCAAAGTGCTCATTGTCTGGTGACCAGGCTAGGCAGACGATCTTCGCATGGTGTCCGTAAAAAACATTGTTCTCCTAGTTGCAGATTGAAACAGAGAGGTGGTTCAGACCCGAGTTACCAAGCATCAGCCTGCCTCGCTTCTCAGCGACCGCAATGAGGGCCTGTCTATGAAGCGTGTGCTCCACGCTCCACACCCGGCCACCCTTACAAACCCTCTGGCTCCTCCTAGGAACCCCTGAGGCACTGGCTTCTCACACATTCGAGGAAGCTGAGGCGCAGCCCTGGTCCACTCACCGAGTAGCCATCGGCGACACTGAACACTGTGACCACTTTGCTGGCGTCACACACGGCGAGGAAGGCGCCGTCGTGGGAGTAGGCCACATCTGTCACGGGGCCTTTGGCCTCTAGGAGCTTGCCCTCGTCCTTCAGCGAGGTGCCCAGAATGGAGTACAAGCGGACATTGCCATCCTGTGAACAAGGGGCAGAGGAAGTCAGCCACTCCCCCATCACACACAAAAGCACCTGCCCCTTCTGCTGGAGGGAAGGGCCAGAGGAAAAGTGCCTTCTTCTGGCCACAGCACAGGTCCTGGCCTGGTGCCCTACACTGAGCTCCCCACTGCCAGGTGAGCTGCTCCTTCTCAATTTTTTACAAATTTATTTAATTTTGTTTAGTATCTTTTATTTTATTTCTTTTTAAAAAATTTGGAGATAGAGAAAAAGAGAAAGGAAAGGGATAAAGCAAACTACCAGTTCTGGGACTTGAACCAGGTAAGCTATGTGGGAGTCCAGTGACTTAACCACCACATCACCTGCCGGCCCCGAGCTGCTCCTTTCTACCTGGCATCCTAGGACTCTCAGGCAGCTCTCATAGGTTGCCTAATTACCACTCCAGGAGGCTGTAAGTTGATCCTTTCCCCCACCCGACACCAGCTCTTACCCTGTGTCTGGTGCTCGACTGTGAAGCTGCACTTTAAACATCCCCTAAGTTCCAGTGTAGGTGGGTGCAGCCAGATTTAGAGAACACGCCTGTACACGCAGTCTTTCAGTGAGGGCCACGGCTCTCTGTTGTGAACCTCTGGCCTTGTCACCTTGGCTCTGCCCGGACACTCTTCCAGGGGGTGGGTGGGAGTCTGGCTGCTCTTTGCAGAGGGTGCACACTACCCATGGGTGGTGCTGCCACCGCCTACACCAGGGGCCTCGCAATGCACAATAAACAGTGGCCGGCATGTGGTTCTCAATCAGAGCCTCATCTAGGACCTGACTCTGAAAAGTGTCACATGTGCCTGAACGAGCTGAGATGTTGGCACGAGTGCGACAGGGTGGCCAAGGAGGGGCGAGTGGAAGGCTGACATATGCCGGCTCCCACCACTGGGACACACACCTTCACTGTACCTATCCCAGAACCCATCAGTACTGCAAGCCAGTGCGAGGGGCCGGCGTCTACTCCTCTCTCTCATGACAATCCAAGGCTGCTCGGAAGGCAAACAGTCAGCCTGGCCTACCCTGCCGAGGCAGCAAAGGCAGAAGAGCTTGAGGATCCCAGACTCAGGAAGCCTCCTGGCTGTGTGTCTGTTCTCTTCTCACCCCACACACAGGAGGGGATCACGCTGGGATCACGCCCCAGTGGGCCTGGCTGATGCCTTGAGAAGTCAGACATGCCAGGTCTCTGAGCTCAGAAAGTACTCCTAGGTTCCATGGACAAGCCACACCCTCCTTGGCTCTCTCGACACCTACATGTGACAGAAGTCGGCTTCATGGTCTTGTGAGGGGAAAACTGCCCACAAAGGAAGCAGTCAACAGGACGAGGGGGGCTGTGCTCACGGGCCACCCTGAGAGCGTGAGGAAGCGGAGACACCTGCCAGCTGAAACGTGAGCCATCATAAGATAACGAGGCCCACGGGGTACGGCAGGGTGGGAAAGGCAGTGGAAGTGTGGACGGGCACCAACGGGACTCACAGGCTAGTCCTGGAGGACAATCATGAAAACTGCTGAGGCCTGGAGGTGTGAGCTAGGTCCAGCCTTTCGTTCGGTTTCAACTTCCTGGAACACTGCTGTTTGAAGGACCATCCCCTGCTCGCTCAGGAGGAGAATGAATGCCTAATAAGCAGGACGTGGTGCTGAGGCTATTCAAGGGGTCACCAGGTTTGAACCCCAGGTCTGGCCTTAAGCTCCTGCCCTAGGCTCCCGGCTATGCACCTGTGCACAGGCCAACACGCCAGAGGGTGGGCAGGAGGGGGAAAGGAGAGCGGTGACGGGCCATGTGAGCCTACAGGGACAGCGGGGACGTGCAGTGGAGGGATGGCAAAGTGTCTGTTTTTTTTTTGGAGAGGTTTTTGCTATAGGGCGCGTGCGCTCGCCAGACAGACAGAGAGAGACAGAGAGACAGAAAGCGAGAAATCCCCCCCCGGGGGGATGGCCACGCCACAATTCCTTCTCCTCCATTCTCCTCTCGGGATCTTGGGCACGCACACACACGCCTGGCATGAGTTTTAAGCCCCCAGGTCCGGGATGTGAACCGCGGTCGACTACGGGGGAGTCCAGCGACATAGCCATTACGCTAACTGCTAGTTCCCGGCAAAGTGTCCTTGATGGTACAGCAGAGCAGGACAGGCCCCAGTCGGAGCCAGCAGCACTGCTGACCAGAGTCAAGAGGAAGCTGTGCTGGGGTGAGAGTGGGGGAGTCTGCTGGGGTGGGCCCAGGACAGAGGGTGGAGCCACAGTAACAGACACAGGACACACTACACTCTGAACTCTCCACGGCCAAAGGAAATACACCCGAGGAGCAGAGGAAATGAGGTCTATGGCCTTCAAGGACGCTCAATAGTGATGAGTCAAAAAGAGCAATTGAATAGTTAATAAACAAGCCCCATTCTTCTTTTCTGAGGAAGAATGACCCTGGGTTCTCCTTCCTTTCACCCAGCCACCCAGATACCCTGACAGTGTAATGGCAGATCTCGCCAGGCCTTGGGCCATAGGAGAGTCAAACCTGAACTGGCCAGTGCACTTGTCCCGAGGGCGAGGGTGGGCCAGCAGCAGGCAGGCAGGCAGGCAGGGAGGGCTTGGGCCCATGTACTGCCCAGTTGGATGCTCCAGGCATGGGACAACGCCTCGGTGTAGCTCCTCACCCTCTCAAGTGAGACTACAGTGAGGAGCTCCATGCTCTGGATGCCCTGCCCTGTAACCCCTTACAGAATAAACGGGAGGGTGCCAGGAGAGACTCGTGAGGCAGGAGATGGGAGTGCTTGTGGGGCGGGACAAGTGGGGTGGATGCTGCAGAGCTAATGCCCCCGAGCGCTTCCCAGAGCCAGGCCCCGGCAGAGCCCTTCTGTGGACTAACCCACAAGCCCTCCTCGCAGCTGTATGACAAAGGCCATGGGCACCTCTGCACAGCTGGCTTCCCAAGGCCCTGCACAGGCATCCCCAGATGTAGTGGTGCGTGGACAGGCCAGGCCCAGCCCCCAGTGCAGGGCGGCACTTCCTGCCCCAGGGAGCGAAAAGGTCTGCACTCGTAGCTGCAGGCTGTTTTCAGTGGGGCTGTCTGCCCTGGGCTGGGTGAAGATGAGACAAGGGCGTCTGTACAGCACCTGGATGTGGCCCAGCAGGCAGTGACGGCCCTACGCCAGTTCTAGGGCACGAGAACAGAACTACGGACCACCAGAAGCCAGAACTCAAGGAAAACCGAAACGATCGAGCTGGTGCCACACCTCGGAGGTCTGGTCACTCTCTGCAGCCCCTGAGCCCACCCCACAGAATGCCATTCCTTTCCCAACAGGCCGTCCCCAAACCACCCAGAAACCCACATCAAGAGCGGGTGGGGAAAAGAAAAGACTCACCGCGCCCCCAACAGCCACAGTGTCTCCACTGGGGTGCACAGCCACCACCTCGGGCTCGTAGCCGGGGCTGTCGATGCTGAAGCACTTCTTCTGATCCTTCAGCAGCACGATCTGTAAGACACAGGGCGGCAGTCAGGGCAGCAGAGGTCCGGGACGAGTGGGTCCTCAGCACAGGGGTGCACTCTGGGCTGGGCTCTGTTCCAGCTTCATTAGGGGTTCGGGCCCACCTACTACCCTGAGCTGTCTTGTCCCTCATCTGTCAAGAGGGGACAGTGACGGGTCCCAGCCACAGCCATACCTCAACACACATGGGCTGTGACCACCACTATCGCTCCAGCGTTACCACTAGCACCAACTTCCTGCAAGCCTCTGACGTCGCCCATCAGACAATGTGCACAAGTGAACCTTGCAGGGCAGTTCTCACGGGCAAGAGAAAGCGCTGGAAACGGCCAGGATGGGCATGGCAGGCAGGGTGCCGAGCCTTCTGGGTTCACCGGGGCTCCTTGCTCTGTACCCCGGGCATCAATGGCCCTACCAAGAAGGACGAGGAAGAGGACAGGAGCACCACAGCGAGGTGAGTTTGGGAGCCATGCCTGTCCCATGGGCCCTGCATCTGTGTGTAGCCAAAGCTGACTGAGAAGCAGGGATCCTGGCCGCCACTGCCTCGCCAGCCCAGTCTGGCCCCACGTGGGGAAGGGGAAGGTGGACAGTGTTGATTTTTTTTTTTTTTCGGGGGGAGAGGTTTTTGCTATAGGGCGTGTGCGGTCGCCAGAAAGAGATAGAAAGAGAGAAATCATCCCCCAGGGGGGATGGTCACGCCGCAATCCCTTCTCCTTCATTCTCCTCCCGGGATCTTGGGCACGCATGCACACACACCCGGCTTGAGTATAAACCACCAGGTCCGGGACTCGAACCAAGGTCAACTACATGGGAGTCCAGCGACATAGTCATTACGCTAACTGCTGGTCCCGACAGTGCTGATCTCTTTAGAAATGACAGATGAGTCTAGCCCGAGTGTCCAGGTCCTTGTACAGATGTTCCCAATGAACGCTGCTGAGTGGGCTCGGCTTTGGACACACAGACAGACCGAGGCCTGATCCTGGCTCACCACCTGCTGGCTGTGGGGACAGTTCACAAATCACCTTGGGACTCAGTTTTCCAGGGGACAGCAATGTGGCGGCAATAAGACACCATGAAGATAGAATTCCGTCCTCTGGACGACCGAGCCACAGACGGCATGACGGATAGCGGCCAGTGTGAGCCACGCGCCTTGCTCCGTGTTCCAGCCCTAGAGAAGGTATCTAGATCTAACAGGTACCTAGATCATACACCCGCACATACAGTTCTCAAAGGCTGAGCTGGGACTCATGTCCTTGGCACCCCAGAATGCTTGCCCTCGGCCAGCACACGGGACCTCCCACCAGCTGGTGCGCACACACAGGCCGCACACGTGGGGACCCCTCTCCTGCCCTTCGATCCCTAACCCGAGCTCTGACCTACTGAGCCACTCCTCGGCAGCATGGCCTTGACCTGAGACAGCTCTGGCTCAGTCCCATCATGCCCCTGCCCAGGTACAGCTGTCCCCCTAGGGTAGGAGGCCCAACCCCATTCTTGGGCTTCTGCGTGTAGGTGCCATGGACAGGTGGCAGCGCCGACCCAACCCTGCTACTGAAGGTGTGCCCCAGGAGCTCCACCTCCACTACCTGGGTGACTCAGGAAAGGGACTCACCTGTGACCAGCAGGAGCGAGGGTACAGGCGTTTACTTTCCCAAATTTGTCTGAGACACTTAAATCTGGCTCTTTCCCGATCCTAAATCATGGGCCCCTACCAAGGGTTCTCCTGACCCTGACCAGTGACAGAGAGCTCTGCGGATGCTCCCTGGCCTCTGGCCTGTGATGGGAGTTCTGTTTAGGAGTCTAGTCTAGCCAGCAAGTAGTGTGGTAGTTAAGGCACAGGACTTCCACATGGCTGACTACAGTTTGAGTCCTGGACCCAGTGGCTTGCAAACCCCCCCAGGCACCTGAGCAGGGATGCCCAGATTCTAAGAGGATGATGGGAGAAAAGGGACAGTGGTATGGCCATCCCCCTAAGGGGGTGATTTCTCACCCCCTCTCTCTGTTGAGCACTCGTGCCCTATGGCAAAAACCCTAAACTAGAGTCTAACCTGGGGCAGGGGTCACAGAGTCTGGAAGAGCTTGATAATGGCTGGTCAGAAAAACAATGCGCATGCAAGTCCCAAGAATCCGGAGACTCCCCACATGCGGAGTGCTTATTCACACCTTCCACGCGCCAGGTGCCGGCGGGGCTGAGGCTGTGATCCTTGTGTGACCCTCGCCATGAGCCTTGGGAACAGTGAAGCCTCTGTGACCACTTTACATGAGGAAACCTTGGCCTGAGACACAGCACTGCCCCAGGTCCTACGGCAAGGAGAAGGCTGAGCCCAAGTCATTACTTGACCAGAGGCCAGGGTCGGACGCCAGGCTAGAAGAGCCCCGCTCTGGAGGCTTTGCGTCTAGCCTCTCCCGGACCCCCGAAGAGCTGTAGGCCGTTAGTCCACTAACATTTGCCCCTAACCGTGTAGGCTGTCTGCAGTAATTGCTTGGCAGGGAGTTCTTAATATCTAGGACACAGAGAAATCCATTCTCCCCGAAGCAATTAAGTTCGCAGAACGGAGGAGGGGCGGGTGGGCCCTGAATGGCAGTTTTCTCTAGCAGGGCTGTCACTTGTGCCAACGGGGCTCAGCCACCACCTGCCTTCTCCTATGTACACACCAGGGTGCTCGGGTCCACTGACAGATGACATTTGCTACACAGTAGAATTCTGTATAAAGTGGGTCAGGCTTGGATCTGAGTCAAGGACGCTTTGTTCCAAAAATTCCAAAGGAAAGGTGTGCAGGTGACCTCACTGTCTGGAAGGGAACCCAGGCTGTCAGTCCAAAAACCATACACTGCCCTTGCCCGGGTGCCACCTGCTGCCACGAGGCCTGGGGACATCACCTTAGCCTCCTCTGTCACAGGAGCCTAAAATGGTGCGAGGAGTTGGATACGTATTTATTTCTTCATCATCATCCCTGAGTCAGTCAGGGACTCTGCGAGGGTGACGTGAACACCAGAAGTCACACAGCTCCGGTGTGGCAGGGCCGGGATGTGAATATGAAGGAGACGGGACCAACCCAGCTGAGTCTCTGCAGTCCCTGCAGGCCGAGGGGTGTGGGCAGGCTCCCTAGTGCAGAGAGGAAGCCTGGCTCTGCCCTCTGCCAGCCGCGGCCAAGGGCAGATGACTTTCCATTCTGTGTCCCCAGTTCCTGCCCATATAAATGGGGGCAATACCCTTCCACCTGGTAGGGTTCTGGTAAGGCTCCCTGCATGTGTTCCCGTGAAGCCCTTGGCACGGTGCATGCGAGCACTGGCTGGCCAAGCTGTCCGGTCAGATGAAAGGAGTAAAGTGAGAAGCCGGGCCCCACACAGCTGTCAGCGCCGGTCCTCATCCCACCACTTCTAGCCAAAGTTAAGCCAGATACCTACCTGCCCGATGCACACGACCACCGTATAGCCCCCAGGACCGACAGCTAAGCACTTTGGTTGGACATCCAGTTTCACAACTCCTTGTCCGCTGTTAGAAAGAGAAGGGGAAGCATGTTACCGCCACGTGTATGCAGCTCAGTGTACACGCTAACTGCCACACCCCAGCATTTAGTGACTTGGGAATTCTCACTGTAATCTATACTGAAGGAGAGATTTGCTAAAACATGGGGGGAAAACCAATCCCCTTGTTCCAAGTGAAGAGAAAATAAATCATGCTGGAACCTGGTAGGAGGGATAAGGGGTTTCGAGAGGCAGCAAAGGGAACAGTTACAGTCCCTATTATTTATAGTAACTGTCTATTTCCCTGTCATTCCTGCCAGTCCCCACATCTGCTGGCCAGAGACTTGGGAGTTTCATGGTATGACAAAATTGAGCCCTGCCCCTTCCTTTAAAATCTACTGGCTTCTAATGGGTGAAAATCCTGTGTGATCTTTCAACTTGACTAACTGCTATGAAAACATCCAGAAAAAACTGGCATACAGGAAAACTGAAAAACGTAAATAGAGGAAACTTCTGTGTAACTGAGCAAAGTACGGTGTCCCAAAGGCTCCCTGGATGACCCCTGTGACGATGTCACTGAGTCCTGGCTGTCCTACAGGAGCCCTGGGCTCTCTTACAGCCTGACCTACAGGGCACAACAGGAAGACCTCTGCAAGGGAACGCTGAGGTCCGGGCTAATGCAGGGCAACGGAGAGGACTAGGGCCCAGAAACCTATGTTCTGAGCCACTGCTGCCACGACTGGGGGCGCTGGCCACTGAGTCAGTCAGGTGGACAAGGCTCTGCAACAGCAGGCACACCCTAGGACCAGCCGGCTCCACGCCCCTTTATGGTGAGGATGCCTGGGGTGAGCAGGCACCTCTGCGACCAGCCGGCTCCACGTCCCTGCATGGTGAAGATGCTGATTCTGTCCCAGGGGTCTCCACAGGGGTGTGGAGTGAGGGCAGAGTGTGAGAGCATCAATCCTGGGGGTGAGGACACTGCAGGTACAGAGGCTCTGTCAGAATCTGAGGTGGCGCTGGGACAGTCGCCCTCTGTTCCCACTTGTCTGCACTAAGAACTTCAGACACTTGTTAACAGCTTCTCTGCAAAATCAACCAAAGGCTCCCACACAAAGCCAAGGCGAGACCCTGTTTCCCAGCCAGGCTGCCCGTGCTCATCCTCCTTCGGCAGGTGCTCCTTGTACAGGCAGCTCTCAGGATCTCACCTGCCCTCTGCATGGCCAAGGCAGGCGTCGTCATCACCCACCTTTCCCGATGACTGGGAAACAAGGAGACCTGGGCAGGACCCTGAATGCAGGCTGCGCTGTTCTACCTACCCCCGGGGCAGAGCCTACACCTGGGTCACCTGGTCACCTAGACCACACAGCTTAGCCCGGAGCCCAAGGCCAGACAACAGGAGAATGATGTTCAGAGAAGAAAATGCAAAGAACACATACAATGTTACTAAGATATAATGAAACTGCTCCTGGCACAGAACCTCTGTGGGGGGGTCCATAGCTCATTGTGGAGGCCCCGATAGTCCCCCAGCTCCTGCCGTTCCCACTGGCAGCCCTCACCTGTAGTCCCGCAGCATGAGGTTGGTGTACCGCACGGTGTCATCCATGCTGCAGCTGATGAGCTGCCCAGACTCGTCCACGGTCATCCTGGACACCTGGTTCGTGTGACCCTTCCCAGCGAAGGAGTCGTTCTCCCCCGTCTCTGAATCCCAGTAATGTGGGGCAGGGTTAAGGAAAGGCCTGGCCTGCAGAGCTAAGGCATCTGCTCATCTGGAGGCGATCAACAAAGACCATGTCAGGAAGAGGGAGGCAAGCACAGGGCCTGGGGAGGACTTCCAGTGGATGACAGAGAGCAGACGTGGTGAAGTCAGTGAGAGGGCCCAAAGGAAAGTCGTACCTCGTGACGCGTTTTTGCATAGAAAAACGCGTCATGACTTTTCAGAAGCAGTGAAATCGGTCTCCCGGGACGACACCACACAGGCTGCTTACCAGATCACAGAACCCTACTGCAGCACCAGCTACTCCTGATAACAGTACTCTGGAAACGCCCTTGTCTGGTGGGCTTCTACCGCAATGGAATGAAGCCACGTGCAGAGCAGGTGGCCCAGAGGGAAGTTGTTTTTTTCCCAAGAATTTGTGTAGACATTTCGTTTTTTTTTTTTTTTACCCATAACCTACTGACAAGCCTAGGGTCATCAGCAGGTAGCTGGCTGGGACCCAATGCACAAATGATGGGGACCCAGGGGTCGTCGAGTATTGACCCGGAACTAATGCACCTCTTCCGGTTTGTGGATTCAGAGCCAACACTCAGGCATGGCTCAAAGTGTGGCTCACACAGTGAGATTCTGTCTTTAGATGGTCCCTTTGGGAAGCTAGGTATGTATTCCTCTGTTGGCACTTTCTGGGGAAGTGTCTGCAGTATGGAGGCACCACACAGGACACAATAAGGAAGCCGGGCAGCTGGCCTGCTGAGGACAGCATGAGTGGAGAGTCTGCCATCCAGGAGGCAGGATCTAGGGCCTTCTCTACCTCCAGCTGGCAGCTCGACCATTCAGTTCCCTGAGGTTTCAGTGAGGCAGACTCCAGTGTCCTCTCTTCAGTTTATGGGGAGAACTCCCTGGACCTTGTAACATTTCAAAGTCTAAGATGGGCAGAGAGAAAGCAGGTCTGTGAAGTGTGACACAGGGGGGGTCCTGGAAAACCCCTAGAGGTACAGCATGCAGACCAGAGGACCCTCTACACAGAGCGGCCTGGAAGTGGGAGCAGTGCTCCCAACACTCATGGCGCTGTCCGACCTGTGCTGCGTGTGGGTGCCTGTGTCCCGGGCACAGGACAGTCTTGTGGGGGCTTACCAGTCCCAGGCCACAAAGGAAAAGCACACAAGGAACCCCTACCCTTGGGGGAAACCAGACGACTCATCCGCAGAAATCCCCGGCAGAGAAGTCTGTGAAACGGCCCCTTATGCCTCCAGGGAAAACCTCCTCGGGAGCTGTCCCAGCTGTACGAGCTTTGGGACTTCAAGGCAGGCCTCTAGCCCTCTGAGCTCGTTTCCCCAGTTTTAAAATAAGGGAAGCATACTAAAGGGATTCAAGATCCTTTTGAATTCTAAGACTCAATGACTCTTGAATTGTGACAGGGACCAGGCTGTTATTTCGGGAGAGCAACAACTGAAGTTCAGAGAAGCTACTCAACACGCTCATAGGAGCATAGGGAAAGTCGGGTCGAGGCCTGGAGGTGACGAGGTCTTGTGAGCAGATGCAGGTGCACCTCAGAGACCAGCGCTGCTTGGAAGTGTGTAGCTGTAGCTGGTGCCGTTGGCTGGCCTGGCCTTCGGCACCGTGGGAACTAAAAGGTCCACTCTCCTGCCAGGGGTTCCTGGGCCAGCTCTGTGAGTCAAAGGATATTAATGTGTCCGTCGTGGCTCCCGGAATAGATGTAGGACTTGCCGCCGTTTTTATGCACCGTCAGGCACTGGATTGATTTACTGTGACCCTGTGGAGGAGACACACGGAGCAGGGTGAGCTGAGGACGCCCTCCTGCCCCACTATGTCAGCCACATTCTGCCCACTCAACGCACGGCGGGGGGCAGCCCCGGTGTGCCCAAAACCTCATTCCATGAGCCATGATCAGCCTTCCCCGGCTGAGTGTTCATCTGACATACCCTTGGCATTCATGCCCCTCCTTCCAAGGCACCGAACCCCACTTAGGCTGAGGGCACAGGTCTAAACCAAGGCCCATCCCTGGAACTTGTATGGATATGTGTGCACCAACCAACCTTCCTAGCCACCGGAAGGAAACGCCGTTTCGTCCCCACCACAGAGCAGAGTAACACAACGGCACTGGCTCAGGAGGCCTCAGTGCTCACAAGGCAGGCGGTGGACGCAGACCCCTCTCATGTCAGGCCCTGGCTAGTGAGTTCTCTCCCAGCTGTTTCCCCACCCCAACTGAGAGAAAGGTCCAGACCCAACTGTTGATGCACTGGGCACCTGAAGGACCTCACCACAGCCAGACATCAGGTTAAGAAGGGGCATTCATCCTCTTTAGCAACCGCTCCCATGGCCTAATAAAAAACTTGTCCCCTGGCCAAAGGCAGGTGGTTCTCCACCGTCACCCTGAGCTGTTCACTGGCAATGCTCATCTGCCAGCTGGCACGCCTGGCGCTCAGGGCCTTCTCCGGGGATGCCCCGAATGGTCCGTGTCTGCCTGTTGCCTCAATGTGGCACTTACTTTTGGAGAAAGGTACCAGAGAACCACGAGCACACACATGGTATCACTCCCATCCTTCTGGGAGACTGGTGAGGTCACTATATGCCTCAGGAAGGTGCATGATGAGCCAGACACTACCTGTACCCAACACAGCACCTCCAGCTCTGCTACTTAGCACATACCCTCAGACCAGCAGGGCCCTTACCGGGAGCCTTGGGCTACCTGGCCTGCCAGATCAGAGCCCGTGTGCAGGCTCCCCTTCTCCTCTCACCGAGAACCGGAGAGCAATGCCAGCCCTCCGCACCCTCCAGCTGTTCCCAGGTCTGTCCTGGTGATTCTGATGCACCCTCACGCTTGAGTAGCCCAGCTTCCACTGTGTCCTGAAGGCCATCCCTGGAGACTGACTGGGTAGGTCCCTCTGGGGCTGGTCAGAAAGCAGCTCTTCTCTAAAGTGCCATGTGACCCTAACATGGAGCCAGGGCTGAGAACTGTGGTTCCAACCTCTGGGCTTAGGAAACTCTGCAGCCTGGTAGGTCTATGGTTCACACGGGTGGGCAACAAACAGTTCTGTGGTCTACACAGGAGTGACAAAAGAACGGGGCTGGGACTAGCAATTAGCGTAATGACTACGTCGCTGGACTCCCATGTAGTCGACTGCGGTTCGAGTCCCGAACTTGGTGGCTTAAAACTCACACCGGTTGCGTGTGCGTGAGTGCCCAAGGTCTTAAGAGGATAACAGAGGAGAAGGGACTGCGGCGTGGCCATCCTCCTCCAGGTAGGGGTGATTTCTCGCTTTCTGTCTCTCTGTCTGTCTGGCAAGCGCATGCGCCCTATGGCAAAAACCTCTCCAAAAAAAAAACGGGGGGGAGGGGGCTGTGGGTGGAGTTTTTGACAACTTTAAAACTCACGGGATTCCCATGGCTCCTAGCCCCATGTGATTGGCAACAGAGAGAGGCCTCCCACGCTCCCAGGGTGGCCATACCAACAGACACAGGATGGCAGAACTAGGACAGCCACCTGCTGAGGGCATCCTGGGGCACTGTTTTCCGGGCAGAGGAAGTTGGATGATGGCAATGTCTAAACCTGGGCACAATTCCTCACCATCACACTTAGAGGCCCAGGGGAGCGGGGATGGTCTGGGGAAGCCTCCTCAGAGAAGATGCTCCTAATTCCTTGCACCCTAAGGGCCTGCTCGGGTGGACCTTCTTGAAAGCTGAGGAAGGACAGCCATCGCCAACACCTGATGCTGCTATTCATATAGACCAGTGCTCCCCTCAGCAGCACCTCTGCCCAAACATCGCCCATGCTGAAGGGATGCAGGGACCAGCAAGTCTATGCCTAGAGGGCACAGAGTTAAACCAGCCTCAGGAATCATTCACATGGCAGTCAGGGATCTCTCAGTCCCTCAGGGCTTCCCTGCTCTGACTAGTTGAGTTTCTGGAACTCCCAACTGAGCCCCTGGGAGGCAACGACTCCCAAGAGCAGAGGGGCAGTGGCCGCTGGCCCCAGCTGGCCAGCTCTCACCGTAGCTGAGAGTGCATCCATCCAGTTCCACTAGCGAAACCCCAAGGGCTACAGGGACCTGGGGCACTTGTTGAGCTTCGCCTTGGCCCTCCCTCGGTGTCCCCTTTCCTGGATGGCCACAGGTCTCCTTCCTACCTGTCCCAAGGACGGCCAATTCCCCAGGGCAGGCTTACCTTGATGACCCGCAGGGGCTTGCTGGGGTTGTTCTTGTCCAGGTAGTTGATGTAGCCCGACAAGGAGATGCTGAGGAGGTGGTCCTTCTGCCACAAGCAGCCCAGCTGCTGGTCCAGAACGTTGGAGCCCATGGGAAACGTGCTGACAACAGAATTCACGCTGACGTCCCAAATCTTGGAAGTTTTGTCTCCAGAAGCAGAGAGCAAATGGGTGCTGTCAGGACTCCAGCTAATCTATTCAAATGAAAACAGTCTGTCACGTGTCAAGAGCTTCAGAGTGGGAAGAAACCCAGGCGGCAGCTCGCCAACAGCCCGTTGCTGAGCAGAACACAAAGTCCAGGAGTGGCGGGATGTGCCCAGGCGAGGACAGACCCCCAGGTTGTCTGCTGGGCCTGCTCTCACCACCTCAGTGACTGCGAGCTCTCCACCTTCACCAGCCACTTTCAGTTGCTCATTTCAAGTTTTTCTTTTTTCCTTTTTGAGAGTTTTTTTTTTTTTTTTTGCTATAAGGCAAGTGTGCTTGCCAGAAAGACAGAGACAGAAAGTGAGAAATCTCCCTCCAGGGAGGTTGGCCATGCAACAATCCCTTTTCCTCCATTCTCCTCTCGGGATCTTGGGCATGCATGCACACGCACCCAGTGTGGGTCTGGGACTCGAACCTCAGTTGACTATACAGGAATCCAGCAACATAACCATTATGCCAACTGCTGGTCCCTCAAGTTTTCATTTTCTTTATTCCTGACAGAATATGTATGTGTGCACATGTGAAAGTAAGGAATGAGCACCCTCCCCAGGGTCTGGTCTGTTCCTTTCTCCAATCCTTCAACCCACTGGATCCTGGTCCCTTGTACGGGTGCTCGGAATGCTGCAGGTGGACCGGGCCAGGGATTCGAGTCATGGCTGCCACGTGGGAGCTGGGCTCTCTACAGCAGTGCAGCACTGCTGTGGCAGAGCTGGCCTCCTTTCGCGGCTTGTCTAAGTTCACGGACAGCTGCAAACACGGGCTGAGCCACAGTGCCAGCACCAAGCCGGAAACACGGTGCGTACTCACAGCGTAGATGCCCCCGTCGTGGGCCTTGCTCCCACCCAGCGCGCACACTTTCTCTCCCGTCTTCCCATCGTAGATGAATATCTTCCAAGAAATCAAGAGACACACAAATCACATACACGTCCGGACGAATGCGGTCAGCGGTCAGCAGACCACTTCTCTACAGGCTGCGCTCCCAACACTCCTCAGGAAGAGACCTGCCTGGGTGGCTCTGACAGGTGGAGAGGAGGGAGATGCCCACGTTCCCCTCGTTGAGAGCAGCTCTGTAAGCGTGTTTTCAGCAGTCACAGGACGGGCAGATGAGCTGCCACCTCCCCACCCGTCCCCAGCCCTTACCTGGCCGTCAGCACTGGCTGTGGCAAATCTGTTCCCGTCGGGAGAGAATCGCACACAGTTGACGAAGCGGCTGTGGTCCTGTGGGAGGGCAGACAGTCACACACCTGACAGCGGGCCACAGGCCAAACTCTTAAGTTCAGGAAAGTTCTCTGCTCCTTATTAGCTACCGAGACGGTATGAACTGTCAGTCCACAGGAAATTCTCAGAGACTGAAACGTGCAGTCCTGCAGTGGGTGGGGGACTGTCTCAGTCCCTGCCTCTGCCCTGCTCCACCTGGAAGACTTTTCCATCCTGGCTGGGGCACGCTGTCCTCAGCTAAGCCTCCCTCCTCTGTGATGGGGCTCCACATCCGCCCCTTTCCATCAAAGCACAGGGACGGCTCGAGCTTCAAGATGGTCACAAATGCGGGGCCTCTTCTCTGAGGCCCAGGGCCGAGCCCAGCCCATAACAGGTACTTGGTGGGCACTAGCTCTGAAGAGACAATGGCGGTGCTCTTCACTGGGAATGAGGGCTGAGTGCTGACTACAGTTCCCTATTCCGGAGCTATTTTCTGGGGTGTAGAGGGCCTGGCCCACGAACATTAACATTCCTCTTGGTCCACTGAGAGTGGGATGCCACATCCTGTCCCTGCCATGATGTTTTATGATGTACAATAAGCCTTCTTATCTCTATCAGAGTAAAGCACAGAGATTCTTTTGCTGACTTTTTTCAATAACAGAAACTTGAGTCTTTCTTTAACCAATTATTAACCCAAAAATAATTTTTTTTAGAGAGATTTTTGTTATAGGGTATGTGTGCTCGCCAGAGAAACAGAAAGCGATAAATCACCTGAGGGGAGATGGCCACGCCACAATCCCTTTTCCTCTGTTCTCTTCTTGAGATTTTGGACTCGCACGTGGGAGTCTAGCAACGTAACCATTACGCCATCTGCTGGTCCTACTAACCTAACAAGTTTTAAACACCTATGCCTATAGGTCTCTGCTTCCAGATGTCCTGCTTTTTGGGGCTGGACCAATGCAAAGACTTCTTAGGCTGATTTGCAAACTTTTTGTCTCTTAAAACTAAATAAAAGGAACCATGGTATCTGAACACCCCTAAGAAACACTTTCGTCTTTTAAAAAATTTTTTAAAAGAGATTTTTTCTATAAGTGTGGTCCATGACGCTCTGTAATAGCCTCCAAGTTCATGGCTTACTGGTGAAGAGATGCAAGGCCAGAAAGAGAAGTTGGGGGCCCCAGGTTCTCAGCACCCCACATGAGAACAGACATGCCGTAAACCAGCAAGGAGAGCTGGCAGGAGGAGACAGACCTCGTCAGCCCAGCAACCTCCCCAGGATGGGCAGCTTTCAGCACGCAGAACCTCAGGTGTCCACGGGGAGCAATCTGGGCCAGAAGCTATGTGGCCCACAGCCCCAGTACAAGGTAACCCTGGGCTTGCCACTTGTCACAACTAAATCACTGTCCTCAACCCACAACCCAAGAGGCAACTACAACTTCCTTCCCTCCAGCTGTGCTTCCTCAAGGCACTGCCGCTATTCCATACAGGCAGGGTCATGCTCCACGTGTGCAAGGTCAGACCTGGTCCTGCAGTGGAATCGGGGACGCAAAGATCCTCCCTCCCGCTAATCCGTGTTTTAGGATGACAAACACTTGAGGGTGAAGCCAAGTATCCCACAGTGGGGAGTCCTGGTAATGGCCCACTTATCATGGCTGCACAACTGTGACCCTACTGCTGTCCTTCCTGCCCGATCTCAGCAGGTGCCGTCAAGACTAGAAGTTTCTATGACGGCAGAGCTCATTCTCTGTGGATTCTGGCCACCGCCCATCATGGGCGGGGACACCTGAACTTAGCCTCGTGATCACGGGAAAGGGAGATTCCCATCATCCAGGCAGGCTGGTATGCCCTTTCTCTCCTGCCTCCCTCCAGGGTGCTGTGGGGCCCAACCAAGCAACTCAGGGAGGAACTGGAGGCCCAGGACCCCTCCCACACCTCTGTCTACAGTGGCCTGTGGTCTCTGGTCATCCACTGTTTAGCTTTTCTAGTCTTTTTGTAAGTTCATCCTGTTTCTAAGGTGGGCCTTTTCAGTTGTGATTTGTGTTCTGTTTTCTCGCTTTCTAGGTATGTGCAGTTGGGGAAAAGCAGCGTCTCCAGCAGGCACAATTCACCAAATTGAATGAAAGTCAAATTAACTTTCTAAACTGAGATCTCTGAAGGCCCTAGCTGTGTCTGCCTCTAACGCTGTCACGTCCCACCAAGAGGGGCCATGGGGTGTCTCCAGGCAAATTTTTCACAGGTGAAAAACAGGCCCCAAGAGGCTGGGTAACTTGAGCTACAACAGGTTCTAGGAATCTGGTCTCCAGTTTCTCGTCCAGAGCTCTCTTCTCAACTGCACTGGCTCCTGGGCCCTGAGCAGGTGCTGGGCAGGCCGGGATTCACCCCAGAGGTCAGATCCTTAACTCTTCAGGCCGACTGCCACCCGCCCTGGGCTGTGACGATGAGGCCCCTGGCCCTCACGTCAGTCAGCAGGGCCTGCAGTAGCCGGCTGGATGTGGTCAGTGGTAGGAGGGCCACAGAGACCCACAGAGCCCTCCCAGACCACCCTGCTGGGGTGGGGGCTGGGGGTGCACAATGTCTCCTCCTGAAGTGACCGCGGCTCGGATCCTGGACATCAGGACAAAACACTGAGCTCTCCCACTACCCAGCCCCACTCCCTCACCACGCGCAGGTCTGCTGCTCACCCCACCCTGGCTGCTGCACGTCCTCGATACTGAAGTGGATGGGGAAGATGGGCTGCCATCACCTGGCAGCCCATGTGCAGCCATGATAAGTCGCTCTGGCTGAACAAGTACCAGCTGCGGAGGAGGCAGGGCATTGGAAGACTGGGAGGCCGAAGAGCTCATCTCAGACCAACAGAGCCAGGAGGAGGAGGTGGAATATGCTACGACTTAGAGAAAGGTCAGTGTCCACTGTTCAGTGTGACATGTAACAATTCCGGGTCCTCAGGTTCACTGAGAGCAGAACACAGACGTTTCTACTCCAATGCTGGCCCCAGGAATCAGGAGTACCAGAGAAGAAACAGCAGGCACCCAGGCCCCACAGCCTACCCAGGAGTGTGGCCCGACCAGGACGTGCCCACTCTCAGGTGCCTTGTGCAGGCCTGGCACGTGCAGTGTGGTATCCCTCCCCGGGTCCTGGAGCCAGGCAGGGGCAGGACAGGGGCCCCGTGCAGGCCGACAAGGCAGCTGCCCTTCCAGTACCGGGTACTGTGTGACCTCAGGGCCTTTGGCTTTGGGGCCTCACCAGTCAGTTTTCCTGCAACTTGAGCCAAGAATCCAAGTGAGCTGCAGACTGATGTCTGCTCCCAAAATAGCCCCTTTAAAGTGAAAGAGCAGCGATCAGCCCATTAACCGAAACAGTGATGGCTGGAAATAGACAGGTCTGTTCTGTGTGGAGGACAGGCCAGGGGAGAGCGCGTCTGGGAAAGCGCCACAGGGAGGGCGTTCAGACTTAGCAGCTTCCACTGGCTGCCCGGCCCAACCACCACCCGAACTGAACTCTGAGCTGAACCCTGACTCCTGCCCCATCCGCCTGTTCTCCAGAGCCAGAGGGGTCGCAGCCCAACCTCACGGGCCTGCCCTCAGGGTGTCCCCTGGTATTTCTGTTCCACCTGCCTGTCCTCCCACTATAGTCAACATGCACAGGCGCTCTGGCATGGACTGTGTCAATTAATTCCCCATAAGAAATACTCCTCCGCCTCACCACCTCCGTCTCACCACGGATGTAACTGAGGCCTGAAGGAATTAGGCAATAATTAAGTAATGCACCTGAGTCCATGCCACCGACAGGATGTGCTCCATCCAGGAGGCCCGACTCCAGCTCACACACAGACTACCTGCTCAGCTCAGGTGTCCCCTCTGGGAGGCTCCCGGTTCCTCCCAGCCTGGGTGAGCCCATGCACACACGGACTACCGAAATGACCTGTGCCTACCCGTGCTACCTTTGTCTGTGAGCCTCCCTGTGCCTGCCATGCCTCCAACGGCCCACGGTCCCACAATGGCTCATCTTCCTTCAGTCCACCCTTCTCTCCCACATTTGGCCTGGTGTCTGCTCAGTCTTCCCACCGGCCTGCACAGTGGCCGCTCAGTTCTGAGGAAGAGCAGCTTTCCTACCCTAGGCCCTTATACGTGGTCAACAGGAGGTGGCAGGAGCCACGTGCACAGAAGTCACTGCTGGCCTGGTGTCTTCCTCTCTTTTTCAAAAGAATTATTTTATTTACCTTTATTTATTTATTATTATTATTTTCCAGTTTGATCAGAGAGAGAGAAGGAAAATGAGAAAGGAAGCCACCAGGTCTAGGACTTGAACTGAGGTCGCCATGTGGGAGTCCAGTCCCTTTAACCGGGCCACACTCCTATCTGCTGGCCCCTTCCTTCCTCTCGAGCCGAGTCTTCCCTGTGAAGCACCCAGGGGGCAGTACCGCATTCCTCGCCCTGCCTAGCTTGGCCAAGAAGCACGATGGGCCCCACCTGCTCAGTTCTTGTGGACAGAGGTCAGCCCACACGCTCTGGACATCAAGGACCAGATAAAGGGATGACAGGCTGGTTCTGACCATCCGGGGCCCTCCCTGCCATTCACTCTAGGTTCTCGGGAGACTCTCCCTGCTGCCTTCCTAGCACAGCCGTCTGCAACCCCACAGGCTGGCCCTGGGGAGCAAGGGCAGCCACGGCACAGGGGACAGTGTGTGGCTGAGGGTCGGGCACCTGGGTGCCTGGCTCTGCACCACAAACTTGGTGTCATTTGGCACTCAGTGTCCAGGTCCAGATCACAAGGCCACACACTGCTCAAGCAAGCCTGGGTAAATGGGCCCCTTACGTCTGTTGCCCTAAGCAACAGTTTCATTAGACACACTTTCCATCCACCGGCAACATGGGGAACTGTGCACTTGGCCGAGAGCCACACTCCAGAAGGGGTGTCATGGCTGTCCCAGGCAGTCGGCAGGTCACCTGATGGCTCACCTGACAGAGGACGCGGAAGGCTGAGCAGCATGAAAACCCGCCTGAGACCAAGCCAAAGGGTGCGTGGAGAAGGCGGACGGCAAGACCCTGATCAGAGCCTGTCAGCCATCCTGACATTCCCGACACAGGTATGTGAGCGCATGAAGAAATCTCCCCGCCCCACTCTCCCTTCTTCCCAGGCACTGTCAGGTTCCCTGACAGAAATGCAAACTCTTGTCCATGGAATGACAAGCAATGGGGCCACAGCGCCCAAAGCCTCCGTTTCAGACCCCGTCCTGTGACGCTGGCGGGCTCGCTCCGCAGGCTGCCCCCGAAACGTGGGTGGTGGTGGAGGGGCAGCTGGGAGCTGAGCCCGTCCCAGGCACAGTTTCTCCCCCCTCATCTCCCTGGGTCCACGCTAGGTTCTGTGGAGGAGGACTGAAGAGGGGCTCTGACCCCGCAGGTTGGGAGGGTCTGGCTACAGTTGAGCTGTGACTCGACTTCCGAGGAGCCAGGCATCTACATGCTCTGCACAGCAAGCTCTTGGTCAAAAGGAAAAGCAACTTGACCCCCACATTTGGGCCCTAGAGATGGGGGGGAGGCTGGGATTCAGGAAGGTCCCTCCGTTCATTCCTCTCAGGACGATGCCATTGGGTTTGCTTCGGCATAGTCTGAAATTCACAATACCATGTGCTCCTCTTCAAGGTGGCAGCCCCAACTGCGGCTGTCTCTGCTCCCCCAGCCACATATTCCAGGCCCTTTCCTGCCCATGTGACTAGAAACACTCCCACACGGTCTCTGTCCATCTCTGGCCACACAGGCCCCCTGGCCTAAGCAGGCCCTGGAAGGGGAATGGGCGGCGAGGGGAGTGTCGCCAGCGGAGCGGCCTGTGGGGGCTGGTCAGGTTCTGGCAGGCACAGGCCACTGCAGCCCGCAGAGCTGGGAGAAGGCAAGGCGGTCCTGCCCAGCAGTCCTGGGGCTGGAGAGGTAAGACTCGGACAGAAAAAGTTACTGTTCGGATTTCACAGTAGGGGAGTTTAATTTCCTCTACAGAACAATCCTACACAGGTTTTAACTTTTCAAACCTTTTACTATAGAAGGCTCAATTAATTCCTCAGGCTCTCATCTCTTGGGCTTTTGCCGAATTCACAGGCACCCACACATGGAAGGCCCACTGGGGTGCCCGACCGCCACTCTTCAACAAACGCCCTTACCTGGCCTTCTCCCAGGACCTCCACCCTCTGCTCAGTCTTCCCACCAGCCTGCACAGTGGCCGCTCAGTTCTGAGGAAGAGCAGCTTTCCTACCCTAGGGCCTTATACGTGGTCAACAGGAGGTGGCAGGAGCCACGTGCACAGAAGTCACTGCTGCCTCCCCAGTCATTAACACCTCACAAGGAACTGCAGGCAGGTGTGGGCCCGAGAGACCTCCCTGGCCTTCCTATGCTAGACCAGCCAAGCCTGGAAGAACATGCTGAAGCGCACCAGCATCTCAGGTCCTCCTAAGAGTCACAGAGCCAGCAAGCTGTGAGTGCCACTCAGTGTGCTCAATCCTGGATTCACAGTCCTTGATTTCTCCAGGGCCATCAGACAGGCCGGTGGGTGTGGACTCCATGGGAAGGCCTCAGAATGGAGCCAACCCCGGACATGGGCCAGCAGGGCAGACACTCCTACCAGACACTCCTGGGACAGGGTTGTGGAGGAAGGACCATGTACTGAGGTAAGAAAAGGAAAGAAGGAATGTGCTGGCCGGGTGCTGAGCAGGCATTCACAGGCAACAGCCAGTGAAGAGCAAAGGCTTAAAAGAACTGGACTTAGAACCAATAGATGGCCTAATGGTTACGTTCCTGGACTCCCATGTAGTTGACTGCAGTTCGAGTCCTGGATCCAGCAGCTTAAAATTCACGCCAGGCATGTGTGTGTACATGCCCAAATCTCAAAAGGAGAATGTAGAAGGGATTGCAGTGCAGCGTGGCCATACCCCCTTGGGGGTGATTTCTCACTTTCTGTCTCTCTGGTGAGCACATGTGCCCTACAGCAAAAATCTCTCTTAAAAAAGAAAAAAAGGGGAACCAGCAGTTAGCGTAATGGCTATGTCGCTGGACTCCCACGTAGTCGACCGCGGTTCGTGTCCCGGACCCGGTGGCTTAGAACTCACGCCGGGCGCGTGTGCGTGCGTGCCCAAGATCCCGAGAGGAGAATGGAGGAGAAGGGATTGCGGCGTGACCATCCCCCCTGGGGGGTGATTTCTCGCTTTCTGTCTCTATGTCTCTCTCTGTCTGTCTGGCGAGCGCACGCGCCCTATAGCGAAAATCTCTCAAAAAAAAAAAAAAAAAAAGAAAAAAAGAACTAGACTCAAATTCAAGCTCCATTTACACCAGCTGAATCCACAAAGTGAAAATCATCCTTCCCAGGGAAGGAGAGGAGCTCCCACCCACAGACAGCCCATGCTAAGGCCAAGTGAGAGCAAGCAGAATGAGGGGGACTGGGGAGTGGGCACAGCTTCACCAGACACAAGACAGGATGGCCTTCGGCTGCCACAGACCTGTCATCTCCTTTCCTCTCCTGGGTTCAGACTGGTATCTGGCCGACTCGGCGTATTCACGCTGTGTTCCACAGACTCTCTCTCTCACTTAGGAGCACTGACCATGACCGCAGGCTTCAATGCATCTCCCAAAATAGCCAGGTTTCCACTACCTAGCAATTAGGCCAGTAGCCACAGGAGGCAGGATCTGAGAACTACAGGGTGCTCATTAGGTACCTCCGAGCTGCACATGCTGGACACGATGCCTCCCTCCCACTCAGCCAGCCAGGCCCTGCTCAGCCTGTGGTTCCAGGGAAGAAATGAAGCCCATCTCCTACAGAAGGGGAATCCCTGGGCCCTCTGCACCCTACGCCACGATCTGTCTCTGCAAGCTCTGTCTGCTGAGTCCTGTCCTTAGCCCTTCTGGCTATGTCCTGCCTGGTATTTATGACTCACTGTGTTACTAAGTCATTAAACAGCACTCCTCAGTGAGGGTAATGACCACTTTAAGGACATTATCTCATTCAATGCTCTAAGAAGCAGTAGACCTAGGAACCACTGACGTTCTGAAAGATGAGTCCCGAGACCTTGGTCCAATCCCCAAACTCAACATCTCCCAAGGACGTCAGCAGCCCGAGACGTGCACTTCGGGTCAGTGCAGTCGCTCGTCTTCCTCTCGTCCAGCACCGGCACTAGCTGTCCTTTCCACGGTGCACACAGGGTGACGGGGAGGGCCAAGGCAAGCAGACCACAGGGCTGCATGTGACCAGCCTCCGGGCCCCGCCTCTTCATAAAGTATTCAGATGCCAATAGCCCCCATCCTGCGGCGGTAAAAGAGAGGCCTAAAGAGGCCTAGGCACTGGTCCGAGTACACAGAGCTGGGACTCTGAGACCCCGCCATGTACACTCAAAGCTTGGGACACTGCACTAAGGCATTCTGGCGAGTTCTTGCCACAAAGCATCTCTAATTCTTCTCATCCTCTCACTCTGTAGGTGCATTTCTGCCCTCACCATCTCTAGGAGAGGCCTCTAAGAGACCAAGTTGGAGGTCCCGGATGTTCACTTCTGCCACTTTGGTGGCCCAGTGAAGAGCTGGCTCAGCAGGACTGAGGCTCTGCAGCTCCAGTCCAGCACACTCCAGCCTGTGACAAAGCTCCCACCCTAGATATATGCACACTGTCCCAGGGAGGCCCCTTCTGCTGGACCCATCTGTGCCCAGCCTAGACCTGGTGGGCCCCCCCTCTGTCTCTGTGTGTGACAGTCCCCCGATAAACTCCACTTTCTGCTTATACAGCACAGCACTAAGGGTGTGATGGGACCTTTCTGCCATCAGCAGCTAAACAGGTCTGGAATCCACTGGTCTCACATATACATCACGAAGTTCACCCAAAGAGAGAAGTCCACTCACGCCAATAGTAAACTTGAACTTGAACGGGGGCCCCTCAAAGAACGCAGCGCAGTTATCGTCACTCCCCGTCACCAGCCGGTATGGCCTGCTCTGCTTGATGTCCACGCTGTTGATGACTTTGTTGTGCCCCGTGATCTCGCCCACGGAAGAGCCACTGTCCCACAGGAAGACAGCTCCAAACCTTCACCCAAAGAGAGGAGATTAAGGGGGAAAAAAATCAATCCTCGAAGGTTGATGAGCAATCTGATAGCTGAGCTGACAATGAATGAAGAACGGGAGTGACTGTCACTGCAGCCCTGGCTCAGGGTGCTGAAGGAACACACGCCTACAAAGTGCAGTAACTTGGGCTCCCCCTGACGTTTGCTGAATGAACCCCGGAACAAGCAGACGCAAGCCTTAGGGAAGGTAACGGATGACCCATGACCCAGTGCCAGGTGCCTCCCGAAGGGACGGTGCTGAGAAGACACCTGCTGCGGAGTATTTGATGGCTTCACTATTTCCACAGCAATGCTGCTGGGAGAAAGCAGGACACCTACCCGTTGCTACCCCTAAAGGAAAGGGGCTCCCTTGCTCTTGACTTGCATTTGGTGAAAATATATTTTTAGTTACTCATTGCTACTGAATGAAAAAGGAATTAAGACCAATAGAAATGACCTGAAAACCCATGGAAGAATCAGTACTACCCAGAATACACACTGAAAAGTGCACCTCAGCACGTGTGGCTGGCACCTGGCGGGTGCGAGAACTTGTGGGCAGTCAGGGTGCTACGGAGGTTACCCTGATGACTCTTGGGAAAAGACTGGGCTCCACATGGACCCACGAGGGGGGCAGCCTTCCCAGTTCCGTGGTCAGAAAGCCTCAAGTGACGTGCCCAGCCAGGGGACGCAAGTGTCCAGCCTCCCTTGCAGCTCTGGTGGCTGTGTGGACCTGCTAGGACAGACACCCCACTTCTAATCAAAGATGTTTTTTCCACCTTACCCCTTTCCTGTTGTCTGAACTGTAGGCATGGCAACTGGAGTTCTAGGTGAAGGGCTAGGCACTCAGGGAAGGAGAGACGGTACCAGGCCCTGGTGACAAGCCCACTGTGACGTGGAGTTTTCCCTCATGTGTGGCAGAGGCCAACCCTGAAGAGGCCAGGTGGCTTGAACTGATCACACATCTGTGAAGGGGGCCATGGAGACCGGGCACTGAACTAGGAGCTCAAGCGGCACTGGCCCAGACATCACTGCACACCCTCCCGCGGGGGCATGCCAGGGCAGGAGCCACAGGAACACGGACAGGGAGGGGCAGAGCGAGTGACTCACTTCTCCCTTCCTTCCCCGACTACGGCGATCCTCTTACTGTCCTCAGTCCACGCAATGTCCTTGATTTTCCCAGCGAAAGGCTGATACTCATACTTCAAGAGGTGATCCTTCTGCGTGGTATCCCAGATCCTCAGCTTCCCAGACACATCTGTGGGGCACAAGACGCGTGGTGAGAGCCTTGCTTCCCCACCTGGCCGCAAGTCCACTCAGCACTGCCTCTGCATGGCCTGGCTTTTCTGCAGGGAAATGCTGGTGAAGGAAACCGGGTTTAGGCACTCTCAATGGCAGTCTGCTGCCTCCACCACAACTGCTATTTGGAGTCTCTGAATTTCACCAGGATAAACCCTCCTTAGGCATGAGAAAGCCCAAGGAGACAGGAGGCTTCATGCCAACACATAACGATTCTTTCTTACTGCATTTCTCTTCTCGTGGGGCCATCTTGATGGTGTATGGGCCTTGGGCAACATCAACACTAAGAACTAAATCCTTATGCAGGACGGGCATTTCAGCAATGCCTGCATCTCCTGTGCAGCTGCTGCAGTAGCGAACGGAAACGAGGCGTGCAGCTGCACAGGAGTGGCTCCCCACAGCTCCTCAGTGGAGCCCTGTCAGGCACATCGGCAGCCTCACTCTCTACAACAAGGAACAGTTCCACAACTCCCAGGAGTCGAGGTGCAAGATTCTCCTGTGAGACACCCAAGGTGGGTGTTGCGAAGGAAGGAAAACTGCACACTGAGCTCGACGCGTCTGCTCTCCGTGGAGCAGTGGCAGCGGATTGTAGTGACACTGAGGGCCACACCCTCCCACCCACACTTCGATCGTGCCACCAAGCACCAAATACCAGCCCTGTCACATCCCTTCCCAAATGAACACTGTGTTGGCGTGAAGGAACAGTAGTGCCTTACACGAACTATTCAGGCTTCATACCTCAGCCCAGTCTTCTAGACAGGTAAGTGGCTTTCCAGAAGAACCCCAGGACCCCTCCAGTGAGCTGACACCTGCTACAGCCAGGGCCAGCTGAGCAAGCCAAGGGAGGACAGGGCAGAGGCAGGGCAGGACCCAGGACGGCCTTGGAAGCCAGGATCACATCCAGCCTCTGCCGTGTATGAGCTTTGTGGGCTCTGACAACTCACATGTCCTCATCAGCAAGAGGAAAGAACAGGGCCAGCTCACAGAGCTGCTGTGAGGACCCAAACGAGGTGTGACCTGTGAAGTCTCATAGCGGTCCTTGGCACACAGTGAGGACTCGGTGCGAGTTAGCCATAATTAGTCAATGAATTCAACTAGAACTGTGCAAAGGCTGCTAGAGCCTACACAGCCAGGACTGTCCCTGGCACTTGCAGTCCGGTTATGGGCACAGACAAGAGGAGACGCCAAATCTATGTAGACAGTCCTACACACACACACACACACACACACACACACGGGCACATTTCCCACACACGATTATGCACACACAGCCATGTGGTCTGCTGTGCACAGGGTCGTTGTGGGGCTCACACTGCCCCAGGGAGAAGAGGACACTCTACAGGACAAGGCAGGAGGCGCCTCACCCTCTCAGAGTGCAGGGCCCAGCTCCTCCCAGGACTGCGGCCTGTTCCTCCTGCTACTACCTCAGCCTCCATTCCAGGCCTGGCAGCTAAGTCTTTCCCACAGCCTCCTCCACTGGACAATGCTTGTTCACTGAGTTCTTTTCAGAGGGGGTAGGGCAGAAAGGCGACAGCAGGGCCCCCAGGAGAGGCGCTCAGGCCCTGATCTGATGAGGACAGCCCTGCAGCAGTCACCGAACACCGATGAAGGCCTGCTGGATGCAGAACTCAGACCAAACAGACCCAGCACCTGCCCATGGAACCAGGGCCTGCATGAAAGCACACCTCCCTTCGCCTCTCTGTGGTAAATACGGCACCAGAAGAACAGCTCGGCAGTGCAGGCAGGTGACCATGGGAGCTCTCCCTCCTGCTGGCCACTGGGACACGGGCCTGCACCCTCCTCAGGACGTCTGGATTATCTCATCCATCCAGGAGGGTGCCTACATACCAAGGGGATCCAGGAAGAGGGCAGACCTCCAACATGAAAATTACCCGAAGATGCCACTAAAAACAGACTTGGGACCCCAGAGGGAGCCCTTGGTCTTGAGGACCCACCGCACAGGAGCAGGAGGTCGATGACGTGTCAGGGCTAAGCCCCAATGTGGGCCTCACAGAGCAGCCCTTCTCACCAGCCATGGACCCATCAGATCGGAAAGCCCTAAGATCCTGCAGAGGACTGGGACCCTCCTAGACGAAGTGCTGGGGTCCCCAGGGACCGGGGACCGGCTCAGCGGGCTGGTACAACACACACTCCCCCGCTACTCCAAACAACACACATCACGCTGTTTTAGCCCAAGGCCCTCATCCGCAGCAAATGGTCCACTATAACCTTAATCCCCTGGCTCTGTTCAAAGAAACGTATTAGAAATGTAAAATGTGCTTTCCAGCCAAGAATACCTGGACCGGGGGAGCCCCAAACTTTCTTGGTTCCATCACCAAATCAGGGATCTTTTAAGAGAGGACATGTCAAATCGATGGTCATTTATTTATGTGGACTGTCCCCTGCAACAGCCTCTGTGACAGCCTGCTCAGATTCTGCAGGAGCATCTGACAGCCACTGACTGACGTCTTGTTCAAACCCCTCTGGGGACCTACGAGAGCACAGGCCTGGACTTTGAGGCTCTCGGCTGGAAGCTGGTGCCAAATGGCGTGAAGGCCTTCGCCAAGCACATTTCTCTCCCGAGAAGACAAAGTTTCTCAGAGCACCCAGCTCTATGTTAAACACAAATTTAAATGGCACCTAGGCCAGGTGTTGGGGCTTTAAATAAAGAGACATCTGGCTGGCGAGCAGGGTTGGGAAGAAAATAAATCCCAGGGCTAAACTAAATCACGGAATATAAGTTAGTCGGCTGTACAGATGGAGTCAGAGGAGACCCAAACACAGAGCCACGAGGTGCCCACTCCTTGCAGGTTCCAGCCAAGCCCTTCCTGGTATCCGTGGCTGGCTACCCTCTGCCGTCAGCCAGCCTGCCATGCCCCCGGCTTTGTTGGGGTGA